GTGTCCCCGGTGTCCCCAAGTGCCACCGCTCACCCCGAACGTCCCCAGCAGGCTCAGGGCGTCCGTCCTGTTGACGGACTTGACGCTGGTCAGGCAGTCTGTCACCTGCGGGGGTGGCAGCGCTCAGGGGACACTCGGGGACGTTTTGGGGACACTTGGGGACACTCGGGGACACTTGGGGACACTCGGGGACACGCACCCGCGACAGGAAGTCCTGCTCCACGCGCTCCTTCAGCAGGTCCGGCGGCTTCTGCTCGTAGGACTTGAAGGTCTCCAGGTAGCGGCCGGCCTCCTCGGCGCTGCGGGGGACATTGGGGACATTTGGGGACATTTGGGGACACTTGGGGACAGCAGGGGGACGTTGGGGACAGCCGTACCTCCAGGCCAGCAGCAGCGTGCAGTCGGTGAGGAGACAAACCTTGGCCAGGTCCTTGAGGGACTGGTGGGGGTCACGCTGGGGACACAGGGGACAGCGACGGGGACAGGTGAGGGACAGGGACAGCGACGGGGACAGCTGAGGCTGGGACAGAGAGGGGACAGTGAGGGACACCTGAGCACCCCTGGGGACACCTGGGGACATCCTGAGCACCTCTGGGGACACGTGGGCACACCTAAGCACCCCTGGGGACACACCTGGGCACCCCTGGGGACACGTGGGCACCCCTGGGGACACGTGGGGACACACCTGGGCACCCCTGGGGACACCTGGGGACACACCTGGGGACACACCTGGGCACCCCTTGGGACACCTGGGGACACCGAGGGGACCCCCGGGGCCGCCCTCACCTGAGGAAGAGCGCGCAGGCGCCGGCGCCCAGCACGAAGTCGGGCCCGATGTCCCCGAAGTGCCACGGGACGCTGCGGATGAAGCGCAGCACGGGGTTGCCGCGCTGGGACAGGCGCGTGTCGCGACATGAGTGGCGACATGAGCCCGGGGACACGCCCCCAGCTCGGGGACACGCCCCCAGCCCGATGACACACCCCCCGTGTCGCGATATGAGCACAAGGACACGCCCCCGAGCCCGAGGACACGCCCCCGTGTCGCGATATGAGCACCGGGGACAGACCCCATGTGGCGACATGAGCCCCAAACCCAGGGTCAGGCCCCGCCCCTGTCACGACATGAGCCCCAAACCCAGGGCCAGGCCCCGCCCCTGTCGCGATAGCAGCCCCAAACCCAGGGCCAGGCCCCGCCCCTGTCACGACATGAGCCCCAAACCCAGGGCCAGGCCCTGCCCATGTCGCGATAGCAGCCCCAAACCCAGGGCCAGGCCCCGCCCATGTCGCGACACGGCCCCGCCCACCTGGCGCGGGCTGACGATGATGCCGCTGCTCTTGGCGCCCGCTCCGAGCGCCGGCGGCGCCCGCGGCTCCTCCCGGTTCTGGTCCCGGTTCTGGTCCCGGTTCTGGTCCCGGTTCTGGTCCCGGTTCTCCTCCCGGTCCCGGTTCTGGTCCCGGTTCTGGTCCCGGTCCCGGTTCTGGTCCCGGTCCCGGTCCCCGGGGGTCGCGAGGGGTCCCGGAGGCCCCGGGAGGGGTCCCGACGGGGCGGTTCCGGTGGGTCCGGGATCCCGGTCCCGGTTCTGCTCCCGGTTCTGCTCCGGATCCCGGTTCTGCTCCCGGTTCTGCTCCCGGTCCCGGTTCTGCTCCCGGGTAGGGGACACTGAGGGGACATGGGGACACTGAGGGACAGCTGGGGACACTGAGGGGACACTGAGGGACAGCCGGTGGTACCTGAGGCTGGGACAGAGGGGACACTGAGGGGACACTGAGGGGACATGGGGACACTGAGGGACAGCTGGGGACACCTGAGGCTGGGACAGAGAGGGGACAGTGAGGGACACCTGAGCACCCCTGGGGACACTTGGGGACACCTGGGCACCTCTGGGCACACCTGGGGACACGTGGGGACACCCGGGGACACCTGAGCACCCCTGGGGACACCTGGGCACCTCTGGGCACCCCTGGGGACACCTGGGGACATCCTGGGCACCCCTGGGGACACCCGGGGACACCTGGGCACCCCTGGGGAGACCTGGGGACACACCTGGGCACCTCTGGGCACACCTGGGGACACCCGGGGACACCTGGGCACCCCTGGGGACACCGAGGGGACCCCCGGGGCCGCCCTCACCTGAGGAAGAGCGCGCAGGCGCCGGCGCCCAGCACGAAGTCGGGCCCGATGTCCCCGAAGTGCCAGGGGACGCTGCGGATGAAGCGCAGCACGGGGTTGCCGCGCTGGGACAGGCGCGTGTCGCGACATGAGTGGCGACATGAGCCCGGGGACACGCCCCCAGCCCGGGGACACGCCCCCAGCTCGGGGACACGCCCCCCGTGTCGCGATATGAGCACAAGGACACGCCCCCGAGCCCGAGGACACGCCCCCGTGTCGCGATATGAGCACCGGGGACAGACCCCATGTGGCGACATGAGCCCCAAACCCAGGGTCAGGCCCCGCCCCTGTCGCGATAGCAGCCCCAAACCCAGGGCCAGGCCCCGCCCATGTCGCGACACGGCCCCGCCCACCTGGCGCGGGCTGACGATGATGCCGCTGCTCTTGGCGCCCGCTCCGAGCGCCGGCGGCGCCCGCGGCTCCTCCCGGTTCTGGTCCGATAGGAGCCCCAAACCCAGGGTCAGGCCCTGCCCATGTCGCGATAGCAGCCCCAAACCCAGGGCCAGGCCCCGCCCATGTCGCGACACGGCCCCGCCCACCTGGCGCGGGCTGACGATGATGCCGCTGCTCTTGGCGCCCGCTCCGAGCGCCGGCGGCGCCCGCGGCTCCTCCCGGTTCTGGTCCCGGTTCTGGTCCCGGTTCTCCTCCCGGTCCCGGTTCTGGTCCCGGTTCTGGTCCCGGTTCTGGTCCCGGTCCCGGTTCTGGTCCCGGTCCCGGTCCCCGGGGGTCGCGAGGGGTCCCGGAGGCCCCGGGAGGGGTCCCGACGGGGCGGTTCCGGTGGGTCCGGGATCCCGGTCCCGGTTCTGCTCCCGGTTCTGCTCCGGATCCCGGTTCTGCTCCCGGTTCTGCTCCCGGTTCTGCTCCCGGTCCTTCCCGGTTCCCCCCGAGCCCCTCACCACGAACTCAGCGTAAGAACCGGGACCGGGCGGGTTCGGCACCGGCACCGGCACCGGGCCCGGCGGGGGCGCGGCGGAGGCTCTGAACAGCGACGGGACCTGGCGGGGACACCGGGACAGCGCCGGTGGCACCGGGACACCCGCGGGGACACCGGGACAGCGCCGGTGGCACCGGGACACCCGTGGGGACACCGGGACAGCGCCGGTGGCACCGGGACACCCGCGGGGACACCGGGACACCCGTGGGGACACCGGGACAGCGCCGGTGACACCGGGACTCCTCCGGTGACACCGGGACACCCGCGGTGACACCGGGACTCCTCCGGTCACCGGCGGGGCCACCGCGTCCTCGTCACCCCCGGGACACCGGGGCCACCCCCGCGACCTTTCCCGGTCCCCCGTGATGTCCCCCCCGTTCCCGGTCACTTCCGCGACCCCCGGTGTCCCCATGCCCCGTTCCCGGTTCCGTCCCCCCCCGGTCCCCAGTTCGGTCCCCGGTGTCCCCAACCCCCCCCGTTCCCGGTTTCCCGTTCAGTCCCCGGTCCCGTTCCCGGTTCCCGGTTCCCGGTTCGGTCCCCGGTCCCGTTCCTGGCTCGGTCCCCGGTCCCCTCCCGCCACCGCCGGTACCGGGGGCTCGTCGGGACCCTCCTGCCGAACGGTGAAACGCCGCCGCTTCCCCCCCGCTGCCGGTGCCGGGTCGGTGGCGGCTCCGGGATTCGGGTCCGGGTCCGGGTCCGGGTCCATGGCGGGGCACGGGGGGTCCCGGGGCCGGTTCGGGCTTCCCGGGGCCGGTACGGAGGGATCTGGGCTCGGTTCCGGGGTCCCGGGGCCGGTTCGGGGTTCCCGGGTTCGGTTTTGGGGTCCCGGGTTCGGTTTTGGGGTCCCGGGGCCGATTTTGGGGTCCCGGGTTCGGTTCCGACGTTCCGGAGCCGCCGCGCGCGCTCCGGTACCACGGAAGGGGCGTGGCCTCTGGTCTCCCTTACGATTGGACCGCCGCGTTGTCAATCAAACAACTACCCCACACCCCCCTTTCCCGCCAATAGGAAGGGGCGCCGGTGGGCGTGGCTACGGAACAACGACCACGCCCCCCGGTGTGACAATGAAAACCCGGGGGTCCCGAATTCCCCCCGGATCCGGGACGTGACAGCGACAGGGACCCCGGGGGGACACCGGGGGGACCCCGAGGGCCACCGGCGGGAGGGGACACGGAGCCACGGATGTCCCCAAAGGCCACCAACCACTCAGAGCCACCTCGGCGCCACCCGTTTATTCGCCAGGAGCGGGCGGCTCCCGGTGGCTCCCGGCGGCTCCCGCGGGGTGGCCCAGCAGGTGACACAGGCGGGGCCACACGCGGGGGTCGCGGGTGGCCCGGGCCAGCAGCCGCGTGTGTCGCCGCAGTGTCGCGATGTCGCCCTGCGTGCGCCGGTTGTGGCGGAGCAGGGCCCCGGTGCGCAGCGCCAGCGCCGCCAGCAGCGCCCCGCCGAGCCGCGGCGACGCGCGGGGACACGGCGACAGCTCCGCGGGGACAGCCGGGGGCACCGGGGGACACAGCCGGGTCCCGTCCGCACCGGGGACGGCGGCGGGCGGAGAGCGGAGCCGCGGCGACGTGCGGGGACACGGCGACAGCTCCGCGGGGACAGCCGGGGGCACCGGGGGACACAGCCGGGTCCCGTCCGCACCGGGGACGGCGGCGGGCGGGGGGCGCAGCAGGAGCAGGAGGGGACGCGGGTCCCGAGCGGCTCCCGGGGGCTGCGGGGGGACACGGAGGGGTCAGGAGGGGACAAAAGTGACCGGGGACAAGGCACGGAGCAGCCCGGTACCGGAATCATCGGGGTTTGGGACAGCCCGGTACCAGAATCATTGGGGTTTGGGGCAGCCCGGTACCGGAATCATTGGGGTTTGGGACAGCCCGGTACCGGAATCATTGGGGTTTGGGACAGCCCGGTACCGGAATCAGGGGGTTTGGGACAGCCCGGTACCGGATCCTCACGGATCCAGACCATCCCGGTACCGGAACCACGTGGACCCAGCGCCGATCCCGGTGCCGATCCCGGTTACCTGCGGCCCCGGGGGGGCGTGGCCGAGGCCGGTGGGTCTCCGGTGGGCGCGGCCGGGCCCGGGCGGCTCCTCCGGGTCCGTCCCCTCGCACCTGCCCAGGTGCTCCGAACCGGAATCTGCCGGGCGGGAATGAGCCCGGGACGAGGGACCGGGACAAGGAACGGGACCCACGGGATGAGGAACGGGACCCCGGAACCGGGACAAGGGACCGGGACAAGGGATGGGACCCCCGAGACCGGGACAAGGGACCCCGGGACCGGGACAAAGGACAGGACAAGGGATAGGACACCCGGGACGGGACTCCGGGACCGGGACCCGCATCCCCGGGACAAGGGACCGGGACAAGGAACGGGACCCCCGGGACCGGGACAAGGAACGGGATCCCCGGGACGGGACCCCCGGGACAGGGGACGGGAACCCCGGGACAAAGACGGGACCTCCAGGACCGGGACCCCCGGGACGCGACCCCGGGACCGGACCCCGGGACCGGGACAAGTAACCGGGACAATGGACAGGACCCCCGGGACAAGGAACGGGATCCCCGGGACAAGGAACGGGACCGCCGGGACCCCCGTGACGGACCCCCGGGACCGGGACCCCCGGTCCGGGCCCCGCCCCCGCGCACCTGAGAATCCCGAGTCGTGCTCGGAGTCGCTGCCCGGGGGGGGCCGCGCCCCTTTCTGGGGGGTCCCCGGGGGCGGCGGGGACAGGGGGGACCCCGGGGCCACCTCCGGGGCCACCCCCGGGGCCACCCCCGGCTCGTCCGGCATCGGGGACACGGGGACCCTGGGGGGAGGGGCGTTGGTGGCCCGGTGACAGCGGGGGAGGGGCTGGCGACGGGGACAGCGGGGGGGTCGTGGCCCCCCACAAT